TCATAAGAACTCCTCTAAGTTTTTCTTCCTGGCCAACAGCAACAAGGAATCAACAATCACTCTTGATTGCAAATGAATATGATCTAGTACAAATAATTTGATGTGCAGATGATCAATATGTGAAGCTCTATCACTTCTTCAAGAATCCTTGATGATTTCTTCCAAATGAAGTATTCTTGATTGTTAGAGAAATAAGACACTCATGCAATAATAACTCAACAAACAATATCAGATATGAAAGTTATGAATCATTAAAGTTGTTGAAAACATAAAGCAATGCATCTATTTATAGATATATCAGTACAGACACATTTTAATTGATTAGCTAAATAATGTAATCGGTTAAGCAATTCCTTCTACTATAGCAGATTTACATTTTTGAGCATTTAACATATTAAGCATAACACATTATTGATTAAGAAATTAATACAAGTCATAACATTTAAAAATATGACCGTTAAGACAATTATGGGTATTCTTGAAAAAGGTTTTCAAACAATACGCATTTTAACTAATTAAAGAAATAACCTAATCAGTTAAGTATCATACTTAAGCAAATATTGAAAACTTTTTCATTCAAATCACATCAATCACACTTAAGCATGTACTGATATATGATGAATCTAACAAATTATGCAAATTGTGTAATCGATTAATTCATACAGATACATAATGTGTGAAGAGTTTTCAACATAAATTCGTTTGAAAATAATGAATGCATGTCACAGATAGTTCAAACACATATACAAATATAAACAATCAACAATTTTTCCATGTGCAAGAAACTATAAAACATTTATGTTGTCATCATAAAAAACTCATATGAGATATGGGTTTAGCTTTCCATAGCTCCCCATATCAACAGTTTTGTAGGAAGCCTTAAAGCTTTGCATAAACGTTATTAAATAACCTTTATAGTGTTGTTGCATTGTAGTTTTCTACAAAGATTAACGTTGTGAAATAAACGTTAAAATGTTACCTCTTTCTTAGTTTCAATTTATTGCCACAAAACATTAAAAAGGACCGAAGTTTGATAAATTCTAAACGAACAAATGAAGAATATGAGAGAGGAGTAGAACAATTTATTGAATTTGCTACGAGGAATGTTCCAGATAATAATGGAAGATTTTATTGTTCATGTGTTAATTGCTTGAATGAACATAGACTACGCATTGGAGTAATACGGGAGCATGTTTTGTGTGATGGGTTCCTAAAGAGTTACATCAAGTAAACATGACATGATGAATTAGTAAAAGTGCCAATAACACATTGTCTGAAAATGTAGGACTTTCTAAGAAGACAAACATTGTTACACCTCCACAACCACAATTGTCTTCTTTATAACAACTTGGTACAGCGATAGTAACAATGTGAAATAAAATTATTGAAATAGATATGTCTCATGAACTCACATGCAAGATTGCTACCACCACTTTATTTATATGTCACTGCTGTATATATAACGTTAAAGTCAGACATCTTTTAAATCGAGAAAAATAATAAAAGAATATAGAATAATTTGTTACATAATAAAAAGGAAGGATGTTGGAAAATCTTTTATCGGATCCCATGTTTAAAGTGTAATGATTTCAAGTCAGAATTCAAATCCCATTTCTATGTCAGAATTGAATTGTATTTATAGAAAAATTCTAAAAACTCTTGAGACTAAAAATATAAAGTACTAGGAGACAACTTTTTTAGGCTAAAAACTAGAGTACTATAAAATAAATCCCTCACACTAAAAACTTAGAGTACTATAAAAGAAATTCTTTTTTTACTCTAATAAATATTTAATCTTTTAATAAGTGAATATCTTTTAAAAAACAATTTGACGTTTCTACATTAGTATAAATTAACTCATACACAATGTATAATTTGATTACTAATAAGACATCTACATATTTATATTTACATTTACATGTTACAGAAATTATACATATAACAAAAAATTGGTGCTGAATTTTGTTGTGTACAGAGATTTATAGAATCAAGAGCATTATATTATTGTAAAATAAAATTAGTGTATAATTTATCCATCAGAAGAACTGAGGCTGTGAGGAACCCCATCATTTTCATCTTTCAGGTACCACACATTTATTAATGGTCATAGTTGCACTATAAATTACCACATACGTGTTCAGACCAGAAGCCTACACATATAGCTACCTAGTCAATCACTAATAATAGCCACAATGTTTCACATATTTTCTTCACCATTTTCTACCATATGAATAAAAATTTACTTTGAAAAATACTTGTGTTTATTATAGAGATGTGAAAATTGGTGTCACATTATGGGCAACATTAAGTTTAGTTAATCCAATATTTTTTTTCTAATTTAGATTAACACAATGCAACTTTTGTCTCTTGCATTTCCTTTTTATTATTAGTACTTTTGTCTAAATTTTAGTTGAAACTATATGAACGATCTCTTATTTTTTTTTTTAATTTTGATGTAGTTTTCTTTTTTATTGTTAAAAAGAGTTAATGTGGTTTTTCACATAAAATTACTATTAACATAGAAAGTGATGTATATTACATATGATATTGTATAAATCTAACTATCAAATAGTCATTTGTTATTAGGTAAGCGATGTCAACACTAATTTACCAGAAAATATCTTATTGATATTTTTAACAAAAATGAAAACTATATTAAAAAAAAAAAGATAACAATTTTTTTTTATTAATTTCTTTTTATTTCCTTCTTAAAAAGGTTGGAACACTTAAGTGTGTGCATGTTTAATATGTTGAAATTTGAATTAAATATACCTTAAATGATTTTATCTCATTACATCTTAATTAGTGTTTGATTCTTTTCATAATAGGTTTTTCAATTATCTATACTTAGAATTGTTTATTACATGAGTTTGGTTTGACTTCCCATATTTTTTTTATCTTTCTTTCTTTATTATTAATAATTTTTTATGGATGTAGATGATGGTTGTGCTTAAATATGTTAGTTTAGTTGAGATGTCAAACTATAAAATAATGTTTACCATGAATTTATATATAAAATAAATATCTTTCATCTCACACCTGAATTTTGTTTACCTTCCTTAACTAACCAATTTGACTTCTTCTATATGTCTGTGTTTATGAAATGAAGATTTTCACAAGACAAATGATGTTTTCTAGACATAATACAAAACTAATATTTATATGATATCATAAAAGAATATTTTCCTTGATTTCGCTAACATGAAATAAATACAATAATATTAGAAAACTAGTTAGATAACAAATAATAATATAAAACATATATTTAGGAAACTAATTATAAACTAAATATATGTTTATCAAAAATATAATAACAAAATATATTTACATATTTTAACGATTTAGATCATTCAAAACTTTATTAGGATTTGATCAGGTTAAATCTAACAAATATTTATTTGTGTTTTATAGTTGTTGAAGACAACCCACAGAGTTATATTTTGATATTTGTATATCTAATAACCCAAATTGACATTCATAAACACTCATAATAATAAAAAAATTATTTAGAAAAAATATATATATTTAATTGACTATTATTAATTTTTTATAATGAAATTATTGTAATTTAATAACATGAAAACGTTGGTTAATATTAAAAATGACTGGATTAACCATTTATTCTAACAAATTATTGGAACCAACACAAATATGCATAACATGTCCACGAAAATATAAATCAATTTTAGTGTGGCACTTAAATATATGTCACTTTTTATTTCACTCCTTCATAAAGACACTACCTTTTGTTTTTAATATTTATAAGTAAGGTATTCATGTTTTTGTCCCAACAAAAGTTTTATTTTTCATTTTATATTTTGAAAAGAAAGTCATTGTTTTAATCGCTAAATAATCACTTTTTTAAATATCTGGTGAGTTCTTAAATATATTGGCATACACTTGTGATGATAGCAATAATATTGAGTTTATAACTATGTATAATAAAAAAAATACATTCGTCAACGATGAATAATAATCGAAGACATTCCTTGAAGAATTGGAAAACTCTACTATCCAGTGAATCATGATAATAAAATTAATCCAATTGCTAAAAATGATGTTTCATCTTTCATATCATTTTCTTTATTTTTCTCCACATCTTCTTTTCGTGTTCCAGGACATCATTTATCACATATTTAAACTATTTTTTTTTCTCTAAACAGGTTAAGAATTTTTATAAACCCTACCCCTTTTGGAACAACTTTATGGAGACTTCATTTAAGGGATTTATAATCACGCTTTACAATCTTGTAGCAATAGCTTAATTCTCACTTTGCTGGCCTAAATATCTTTTACATAAAAGTGAAAATATTTTTTATTTTAATTTAGAGTTTAAGAAGTGAAGAATGAGATATTATGATATTTGATATTGTATTGTATTTTTGCTTTATATATATAATGTATATAAATAAAATAAATTACAAACTTCTTTATACAATATGTCTTTATATTTCGTGAAGCTAAAATTCCCATACTATCATGACTTTAGAGTCTATTAGATTTGAAGTATGCTAATACACTGTTACAAATTATGTCAGAACAGAGCAAACTCATAAACTACAAATTTTCACTCAATTGTAACAAAAAAATTATACAACTTTTTCAGTACAGAAAAGGACAGAAGAAAAATAAGACGAGCGATACAAGGAAGAGAGAAGAGAGTTCCTAACAGCTTAATGCCACTCTTTTCTCTCCCTCTTTCTATGTTTCCATCACATGACCCACATTTTCTCTATTCTCTGTTATCTCTATTATTTGTAAAAAACAAAATTGTACAATTTAATTGCAGATATATAGTATCTGATGTCAGCTGATAATAATAACTAAAACAAGAACTAGTTGATCATATGGTACTCTTTCCAGGTGAATTTCTGTTCTTCAAGTTCTTTCCTAAAGGTTTCTATCACTGTACCTTAGTTTCTCTCACTTTTATCATTTTCTTTTAGATCCAAAGCAGTCTGACCCTACATGAGATCCAACAAGCTAAGTTGTCGAGCTCAAATTTCAACACTAAATACAGGTGATCTTTCCAAACCATTTAATAATAAGACAGTAATACGAATTGTGGGATGTGTCTGGCTACAATTCAAACAGTTTTGACACAAATCAATGAAGCTCGATCACAGAAGAATTCTAACATTAGAGGTATACTCACACACAGAGACCTGTCTCAGTTTATTTTGAAATTACGTTTTTAAACAAAGCATCGTTGTTTCTGCACTTTTTCAACAAAGCTTGGAAGATACAGGAAAATTCTATAAAAATCTTACAATTATACAAAACAACCACCTATGCAGAAAACCTTTCTCTGTCATGAGGAGCAGAATAATCAATATTTGGCCCAACAGGAACAATACCAAATGGATTGATAGAAGGATGACTTCCATAGTAATGTAACTTGATATGTTGCATGTTCACAGTGCTACTAATGCCAGGAATTTGGAAAATGTCTTTAGTGTAATTGAAAAGATTTGGGTATTCGTGCAGCAGCTTCTTGTTGCACTTGAAGTGAACTGCATAAACCTACAATTATAAGAGAGTTCAATTACTTGAAGAGAGAAGTTTGTATTTTTCTCATCATCTATAGCCACTATAAAACAATGAACTAACTGAGATGATTTGTTTTCATTGGTCTGATTCAGAGTAAAGTACTACACAAAAAACAGGAAAATCAGACTACTCTGAACTATAGAAAATTTATTTCTTCTCTTTATGTTTACATTTGGAAGACGACACTCAGCCACAACTATGTAACATTCCAAGCCCAGGTTAGAAAATTAAGTTTTTAATCTCACGATAGAAATGCAATAAGACTGAAAGGACAAACTCCATATTTATTCAAGAAAAATGGTCATGAAACACAGACTCGCTAACTTGGGCCTACCAGCGATTTGATTTAATTTTGAGTTCTAAAAGGAGGCTTTGCTCATTTGGACGCAAGCTAGGGGTGAAAATCTCAATATTGTCAAATGGCAAAAGCTTTATTTTGGAATATTAGGGGCATTGGGAATAAGAAGTCCTAAGTGGCTCTCAAAAAGATTTGTTCATCTCACTACCAAGTTTTCTGTTTCTTGCTGAACCCTTTGTCAGCACTGATAATTTGAGGTCAACTATTGGAGATATTTGAATTTTTCAGTTGTATACTCAAAATAATAGGGAAATTTCAAATATATGGCGTTTTACTAATAATGTTAAGTTGCTGAGCTGTTTTGGTCAATTTGTGTTGACCCTTTCTTTTGCGGTTAAAGTCACATATCATATTGCTATCATCTATGCATCTACATATTAATCAAGCGTAGATCCTTGTGGCATGATTTATCTATTCTTATGAGTTCTAATCCTGGTCCTTGATCTTTTATCGGTGATTCAATGTGGTTCGAGGTAGTCATGAGCATAGAGGTTCCAATTTTGTGGCTAGGCTTCCTGTTAAAGAATTTGAAGCTTGGGTAGATGGGAATCATCTGCATCATTTTCCCAGAAGCGTTGGTTCTGCTAGGATGGCAAACACCTTGATGGAGAGCCTGCTGCAATTCGGATTGGATTGCTTCCTGGAATAGTATTTCTTGTAATACTTTAACTAAATATTTTTCTGATCACTTTCCTATTCTTTTTCAGTCAGAATAAAACAAAAGGAATTCTTTTCCTCTTAAAGATTGATCTATGTGGCTGCTACAGCTGATTGTGAGTTGGTTTCTGATGCTTGGAATACTTCCTGGTTTGGCCATCTCCCATATATGTGTTGAATCAAAAGATGATAAAAGTTAAGAGAAGGCTTCTTGATAGCAGAAATGTCTTTGGCAATGTGACTCACACAGTCACTAATCCTATGAATAATCTGGCTAGGTTTCAAACAAATTTGGATTCTCATGCTAAAAATGATGACTTAATTTTGCAGAAAAAAAAAATGCTTTGATTGCTTTAGAAAGAGTTTGACATCCAACATGAAATGTGGAGGGAAAAGGCTAGATATACTTGGCATATCGAGGGTGAAAAAAACACTACCCTTTTTCATCGGTCTGCCAAGATTAATCAAGCAATGAAACATACCTCTTCTTTGACAAAACGAGGATAGAGATATCAGTGACAACAACGACTTGGAGGATCATGTTGTTAGTTACTTTTTTGCTATCTTTTTCGGTGATAATGAATATAGTAATAATAATTCAATGAATTGCAAGTTTTAAGTTAAGTGAGATCGGAGAGGGAGAAAAAGATCACAGACTCGAAGGATCTTAGTGATTTTGACTACCATGTTTGATACACCTATGGTTGATTCTTTGAACATCCCTATTGTTCTGCATAACCAGTTGTCAGATAAGGTTTCTGATTTCATACATAATGGTCAGAGGTATGACTTGGATTTCATATGATCTAGATATCCAGTTCCGGCTAGAGATATTGTCTTTCGAGTAGAGCGTACTCCAGATAGAAGGTATTGGAATGGTTCTTCTGATGTTATACTCACCATGAAGCATGCTTTTGAGCTGGTTTCTGGTCAATCCAATCCTTGGGTTCTGGCTATAAGCTTTGAGATCAGTTCATCCCTCCCTGAAAATCCTTTCTTATTCGGAGGCTTGCTACAAATTGTAACATACTTAAATGTAGTTTGTCTATAGTTTCACGATGCTATCATTGTTTTCATCACACTGAAACTGTTGCTGACTTTTTCTTTTAATGTTATTTCGCAGAAAAATTTCTCATTGGCTTAGTTCTTGCCAACAGTGTCAAATTGACCATCTCAGTCTTCATTCTGTGTAGCAAAGAATCGATGGCTCCTGGAGTAAAGCTGCTATCTTTTTTGTAATTGAATCCATTTGGTATAGCAGTAATTCCATTTGTTTGGATAACCATAAGGTCTTTTATTCAAGCCTGAAGAATCAAGTTTTTTCTAATGTGAACTGGGTTCGTGATCTATGCTCTTATTCTATGAGGTATAACATTAAAGAGTTCAATATTCTCAAGGCTTTTAGTATCTTTATTAAGTTGGGTATTGCTCCTTCTGTCATTCCTGCTTTTTATTTTTCTCCTCCTTGTCATTTGTTGAAGTTCAATATTGAAGGTGCTTCTGATGGGGTTTGTTCCGCGATAAATTTGTTACTTTTGTCGGATCTTTTACTGGTTATCTTGGTGTGAAAGCAGCGACATATGCAGAAGTTTTTAGTGCTATTCGTGCTGCTGAAGTAGCAGTTGAGAACCAACAGGAAAGTGATTCTATGATGGTGGTAAAAGCTTTCTTCAACCAACATAAAGTTACTTTGTATCTTCGTAACTGTTAGAAGAATATGTTGTATAAGCTTAAGAGTGTGAGATTCCTTTCTGTCTCAACATACAATTCCTTGGTCTCTCACATATATTGGGAGGTAGACTATTGAATTGATAAACTTGCTTCTTTTATGGTTAAACGTAGATGTACTAGGTGGTGGAATCGTTTTATTAAGCTTAATTTCTACAGGATTTGTATTTGTTATTATAAAATTTGAATATGCTGCAAATGATTGATATAACTTGGGTTGTCAACATAGTTGGGACTGCAAGTTATGTAAGGATGCTTTTTCATACCTTCTTTGCTTCAGAAAAGAATTGAAAATGCATTGCAGACACGAGAAGAAAAGTTGAATGAAGAGAAAATAACAATCTGAAGGGTGCTCTCCAAGTTCGAACAGAAGGTTCAGGAAGAAGGAAGAGCAACAATGAGAAGAGTGACAAAGCTAACAATGACAAGAAAAACAAAAATAGGGACGAGATTTATCAATAATGACCATACTAAAGATAAACCGCTAATGAGTCAATATTTTATTGACTTCACTTAGCTTATTGTATTACATTTAATTAGGGAATTGTGCTTGGATGTCTATTATTTCTCCAGTTTTGCTAATTGTACTTAATTTGATCAGGAATTCTTATTTTAATTAATTTAAATTATCTGAGGCTAATTATTTTTATTATTAATTGCAGGGAAATTTTTGGAAGTATATTTTGGGATATTAAAGGGTTGCCACATCATTCTCTACTCGCCACATCAGCATTTTATTTTAATTTAAATTGTAATTTTGTTTTTTAGGGCTTTTTGGACTGATTTGCACATTTTGGGCCATTTTTGGCAATTTAGGAGAGGCCCAAAAGTGGGGGCGGATTTTGCATCCTAGGATTTAGTGCCTAGTAGCCCCCAACACACAAGAGAGCTCATTCGTTTTGTAATTTTTGTCTTCCAAACTTGTGGATAGAGAAGAGAGCTCCAATGAGGTTTTTATTTCGTTTTTATGGATTTAACTCATTCTCTTTGCAATTTTAGAGTTCAATTTGTTTATGCACTTAAGTTTGTGTCTTTAATTTGCGTTTACTGTTTAGTTAATTTCAATAACAACTGTCCACATAACCCACCACTATGTGTTCGATCTAATTCCTGAAACACATTTGGTCCTTAAGAGACAACCTAGGGGTCATTCTCCTAGTATATACTACATTTAATTGCGAATTAATTTGATTCGGGTGTGGCCTTGATCAAATTTGACCCCATTACCGGGGACCAACAGTTCAATTTTGGGTCTGTTAGTGTGTGTTGTGTTTTATCTTGTGTTGTGAGTGTGCTGTTATGTTTTGTTTATGTGTGTCTTGTGTTTTGTGGTTGTTTTAAGTCAATATTTGGAGAACTGGACATTGTTTGCTATGTTTTCACATAAAACGTGATGATCACGATGAGCGCGTTAATAATGAATAGTGTGTGAATAGTTCCCGATTTCCCTATTATAATTGACGATTTTTGTTTTGGTAGCTAGGAATGTCATTTTTCTTTGAAATTTTTTTGTGCACTTCTTATGGTCCATATTTTGATAGAAAAATCATAGAAGCAGTTTTAGTATTCCCGGTTTGGAGTTACAATTTTTTTGTGAAAACAGGAAGTGTCAAAACTTCAAACTGCGATAACTTTTGCGATAACTTATGCTCACGAAGTCAGAATTGGATGAATTTTCTTTTGATTTTGCATAGAAAAAAATTCTGGATCCATTTACGACTGCCTCATTGACGGCCGATTCTCAGATTTTCAAAAAGAGGCCTTTTTCTATTTATTTTTGATATTTCAAGTTTATTTTTCCATCCTTCCAAACTTTCTTAAATTCGTAAAAATAGTTATCCTTTGAATTTTGCTTTGCCAACTTTTTTGCTATCATTTCATGGTTGTAGGGGGTTGCTCACAATATTTCAACTCATTCTGATAAGTTTTGCATATACTTGCAGTTCTACCCCCTATGTTTGCTTGTGTTGACTAAGTTGACTTTTGCTAATAGAGTTGACTTAGTGTATGACTAGGGGCAATCCTGGCCAACTACCACTCTTTGATCCTGAAATTGATAGGACTTTTCATAGGTTAGCTAGGCATTCTAGGAATTTTTCTTTAGAGTCAGACCCACCATTTGAGTCCATACCATTAGAGTCTCAGCATTCTACTTCTGCATCTACTGTTCCATACTTTGTGCATACTGCATCTGTTGCATCTAATTCTGATTTTTTTATTTTTCATAACGAGAACAATATGGCACAACCTCCACCTCGCGAGAGAGGACTCTTAGGGAAATGGCTGCACCTGGTTTCACTAATGAAAGCTTGTGCATCCAATATCATGGTGAGGACGTGCCATATGTTCTCAAAACTGGACTGATCCATTTGTTGCCCAAGTTTCATGGCCTTGCAGGTGAATGCCCACATAAGCATCTTAAGGAGTTCCACATTGTTTGTTCAACGATGAAGCCTCATGATGTTCTTGAAGATCACATCTTCTTGAAGGCATTCCCTCATTCATTAGAAGGTGTGACAAATGATTGATTGTATTATCTTACGCCTAGATCCATCACAAGCTGGGATAATCTTAAGAGACTGTTTTTGGAGAAATTTTTCCCAACATCCCGAACTACAGCTATAAGAAAAGACATTTCTGGGATTAGGCCTCGGTGGAGAGAGCTTGTATGAGTACTAGGAAAGATTTAAAAAACTATGTGCAAGTTGCCCTCACCATCAGATATCCGAGCAACTCCTTCTCTAGTATTTTTATGAAGGCTTGAACAACATGGAGAGAAGTATGATTGATGCTGCCAGTGGTGGAGCACTTGGTGACATGACACCTGCTGAAGCCAGACATTTTATTGAGAAGATGACTTCTAACTCCCAAGAGTTAAGTGCGAGAAATGATGTTCTTGTTGTTAGGGGAGTTCATGATGTAGCTACTCATTCTTTATCATCTACAGATAAGAATTAGGAGAGCAAACTTGATGCTCTTGTGAGTTTGGTGACACAACTGGCAAGCAATCAGAGACCAGCACCTCCATCTGCATCTATTGCACGACTGTGTGTTATATGTCCTTCGAGTGATCATTATACAGATGCATGTCCTTCTTTGCAGCAACCTATTGGCCAAGATGCTCCTTAAGCCTATGCTGCAAACATTTACAACAACAGGCAACCACAACAGCTACTACAATTACGGTTTTGCTCTTCCTTTTTCGTCTTTATTGTTGTTCTCGTTTTGTCCCTTTGCATTCTCGTTTTCAATTTACGTTTTCGGGTGCCCCCATTAATTACGTTTTCTGTTTTTGTTTCTGGTGCGTTTTCTATTTGCAATTTGAAGTACATTTTGTAGCTGTTGTTTGAGTTACGTTTTAGTGGTGCATTCCCTGTTCCAGCACTAATTTAGTTTTGCATTGTTGTTTGAACTTAGTGTAATGGAAGCCTAGTTCTATTGGGTTGGTGATTAGGGAGATTGCATAGCTTCTATGAGGTTATTGCTGCATAATTGTTTCCGCTGTTATAGCCCAGCACATTGTTGAATCTATTTGTACTGCAATTAAGACATGCTTAGTGCTCTAAATTGTGCCTAATCTCCGCTTAGTTGATTAGGGTCATGGTTGCTTAATATGTGATAGTGCATAGTTGATTGAATGTGTGTTTTATGAAAACTTTTTAATCCTCCATTTTGTTGGATTAATGAATGTTGGATTAGGGATGAGAAGAGTTGTTAATTATAGTTAACTTGGGATTGGACCTTTGCAATCAAACTAACACTAACATGTCTTTAATCTATGTCTTTAATTTGTGTTTACTATTTAGTTAATTTCAATAACAATTGTCCACATAACCCCCCCTACATGTTCGATCTAATTCCTGAACCACATTTGGTCCTTGAGAGACGACCTAGGAGTCATTCTCTTAGTATATACTGCATTTAATTGCTCATTAATTTGATTCGGATACGGCCTCGATCAACCACACACAAAGAAATTGTTCGTGGAGGTTGAGTGTGGAAAATGTGGTAAACTTGGAAGCATAGAGCACTTAATAGTTCCAAGTGATTCATGGCTGATTTACATTTGCTGCACAAAACACATGACCAATAACCAGAAGCTCTTCACAGTGATAAGAAAACTATTGTTTCCAAACAGAAAATTGGAACTAGTATTTAATTTAATGCAAGGAAAAATGGACTCTGGCTGTAGAAAGCTTGACAATTTCGAAGGGTCATAGGTTAAATTAGACAAACTTAATACAAAGAAGAGTATGTAAGAGAAAATGATATAGAAATCAAGCAATTTGGATCATAAATGCTAGCAAATATAAATATGAAGCAAAATGAGCCAACACAGACTCATGAAGATAATAAGTTGCAACTGGAATAACAAATGATCCTGTTTTTCATGCAAATACTGCATTTCATGATCAATTTGTATCGCTTAAAAGAACAAAGGGTGTGGAAATTAAATTTTATTGCTAGACCGAGGACCAAGTTAATTTGTTTCTTTTCTCTAATTTGTGTTTGCTCTAGTTCTTGTGTTATACTTTGCACAGTACAAGTAACAACAGGAAAACACATGATATTTCCAAATGTCTAAAATAAATATCCACACGTACACTTTACCTCATCAAATCTGATAAGAGTGACAAACAATCGAATGTCTGCTTCAGAGAGTGTGTGGCCACATATATAGCGTTGCTTACTTAATAGATTCTCACATTTGTCCAGAGCTTCAAACAATTGTCTTGAAGCCTGCAGAAAGAAAACACCAGATAAACATTGGCAGTAAGTGCAAACATTAAAGAACCAACAGTTGCTAGAAAAAAAGGTTAAAAATAGCTTCGTACCTCATTGTGTGGTTCTTGCTTCTTTGCAAAACCACACTTGTAAACACCATTATTTATACTATCGTATATCCACGCATTGGTTTCATCAATAAGGGCTTTTAAATCAGCGGGATACAAGTCAACAGAGGGATTTTCTGCAATATTGTTGAATTCAGTATTAAACATGCGGATTATCTCTGAGCTCTCGTTGTTAACAATTGTCTTGAGTTTCTTATCCCACAACACCTATGCAGATCAAAATTCATCAGTTGGTAAAAAAAAGTTTACCCAGCAAAGCAAATCATAAAAAACATGAAAGAAGACAGAGTATAGTATCTCCATACAGGAACTGTGTACTTTCCAGTGTAGTTAGCACTTGCAATTTCATAAAGCTCCCTAATACTCTTTGCTCCATTCAACCTATCAGGTTCAGCTCCAGGGACCTCTGTTTCTGAATCAGGAAAAACCCACCCCTTATACTCATCTGATTCTTTAGTTCTTTCAAATATGGGTTTGACTGACTGATCATTGAACACGCAGGAAATGAAATCGCATAATGAACTAAGAATGTATTCTTTCCAGTTGAAAAACACTCAGCACGAAGGCTACTAACTAACCGAGAAACTGATGGCTTTGTTAAGTCCTTTGATATTCAAGTAAGCAAGGCACCTGGAAGCCCAAGGGCAAGCATATGATACATAGAGATGATACCTCCCTGATTCCGGTGGAAATGGCGAATTCGGGTNCAGATAATAAGTTGCAACTGGAATAACAAATGATCCTGTTTTTCATGCAAATACTGCATTTCATGATCAATTTGTATCGCTTAAAAGAACAAAGGGTGTGGAAATTAAATTTTATTGCTAGACCGAGGACCAAGTTAATTTGTTTCTTTTCTCTAATTTGTGTTTGCTCTAGTTCTTGTGTTATACTTTGCACAGTACAAGTAACAACAGGAAAACACATGATATTTCCAAATGTCTAAAATAAATATCCACACGTACACTTTACCTCATCAAATCTGATAAGAGTGACAAACAATCGAATGTCTGCTTCAGAGAGTGTGTGGCCACATATATAGCGTTGCTTACTTAATAGATTCTCACATTTGTCCAGAGCTTCAAACAATTGTCTTGAAGCCTGCAGAAAGAAAACACCAGATAAACATTGGCAGTAAGTGCAAACATTAAAGAACCAACAGTTGCTAGAAAAAAAGGTTAAAAATAGCTTCGTACCTCATTGTGTGGTTCTTGCTTCTTTGCAAAACCACACTTGTAAACACCATTATTTATACTATCGTATATCCACGCATTGGTTTCATCAATAAGGGCTTTTAAATCAGCGGGATACAAGTCAACAGAGGGATTTTCTGCAATATTGTTGAATTCAGTATTAAACATGCGGATTATCTCTGAGCTCTCGTTGTTAACAATTGTCTTGAGTTTCTTATCCCACAACACCTATGCAGATCAAAATTCATCAGTTGGTAAAAAAAAGTTTACCCAGCAAAGCAAATCATAAAAAACATGAAAGAAGACAGAGTATAGTATCTCCATACAGGAACTGTGTACTTTCCAGTGTAGTTAGCACTTGCAATTTCATAAAGCTCCCTAATACTCTTTGCTCCATTCAACCTATCAGGTTCAGCTCCAGGGACCTCTGTTTCTGAATCAGGAAAAACCCACCCCTTATACTCATCTGATTCTTTAGTTCTTTCAAATATGGGTTTGACTGACTGATCATTGAACACGCAGGAAATGAAATCGCATAATGAACTAAGAATGTATTCTTTCCAGTTGAAAAACACTCAGCACGAAGGATACTAACTAACCGAGAAACTGATGGCTTTGTTAAGTCCTTTGATATTCAAGTAAGCAAGGCACCTGGAAGCCCAAGGGCAAGCATATGATACATAGAGATGATACCTCCCTGATTCCGGTGGAAATGGCGAATTCGGGTCACTTGAAATCCAGTTTCTGAAAGTGGAAGCAGATCTCACAAATGCTCCGGTGTCTGATATCTCATCCATCGAAGATCGTGCCATCCCAACAAGAAGCTAACAGAAGATATTTTACGAACCAATCACAAACAGCAATAAATCTTCAGTGAAGAATAGAGAAAAACAAAATTTAGTTCAACAAGAAATTCGTTGTAATCCATGCATCGAGCCACATAGAAATACGCAAAGGATTCGAAATTCACAAATAAGCATACACCGTAGTAGTAACGATTATCTTACAATTATAATTCTTCAACAAACTAATTTGGTAATCCTGTGTAAGAAAATTCTTGGCAGAGAAAAGAAAGAACAGATAATTTTCATAAGAATCAACAGTTTAGACATAGAAGAATTCGCAGGCTATTGCATACCTAAAATGAAGAGAGCAAACGAGAATTTGGTTGATGAAACGCACCTTGTAGTGGTAGTAGTTGTAACAAAAGTCAGAGAAGGGAAAGGCGCTTTTGAAGCGTGGCGGTGATCTTAGACAACTTTCAATAATAGCTACTGCATTTTAAAACTCATCTTAAAACATTGTATATTACTATTCTACACGAGTGCGCAGAAACTCAAAACAACATAAAAAAAATCAATTCAAATGATTAAACTATAAAAGTATCCACGAAGCAACGTTTTTTGTTTTTGTTTTTTCCTTTGGTTCAAAGCAACCTAGCACGCTGGACGTTACACTGATACCTAAAGTTCAATAAGCTTTTTAAGCCAAACACACACACAATTTTACATTAAAAAATGTCTGATGCAATTAAAAGTTAAATATGTAGAAGTAATAATGAAAAAAAGAATTATATAATTAGAAAAGTTGTAATGTCTCCAATTTTAGCAACTTATAATCGATAAAATAAGATATTATAAAGTTGATTAAACAAATTAAATTATCTCAATGTATAAACAAATGATATTAATAATTTTATCTAAAAGAAATAATTATACTAATAAAATATATATAACTCCGTTGAAGAAAATTACTCGTTGATTATGAAAAATATTATATACGATCACCATTATTCATTATAGAATTTTCAAAGTGTATCCTTCATATACTTACTCTAATAAGATGATCACGGTAAAATAAAAAACACAAGAAAAACAAAAGAGTAAACTAATATGCAAAAAGGGTTTCCTAAGACAATTAAATTATATCAAGTAAAAACATTTATAAAATACAATAACTCATATAAACACACAAAAACAGTTTAGACTCAATTATCTGGATACATGTTTTGATATATGACTTGAGTAGATGTGCACTCGTTATAGTATTTATATTCTACAGAGTCATAAACACAAGGTTTATCACCCTACTACTCACGAGGTTAATCTTTTCAAGCTAAGATCAAAAGTTGAGGCCAAAGACCTCCTACCATTCTCTCCCCCCATCTCATTCATCTCTATATGAGTTGAATGACTAATGATATATCAAGATACATCGTTTCTAAATTTCCATATGTCAAAACATAACTA